TTATGGGATGAGTATACTGACTAGCTTACTCTGATCTCTGGACTGATGAATCAAAAAGCTCTCAACCTCAGCTGACTATCTTCTCCCTTTCAGTCACTGATTAACTGAGGTTGTAAAGAGACCGCTGCGTGTTTCAGTTTGACTTTCTTGTTGTCTAAACAAGGGAGTCATGACCCGCTGAATCATTGGAACTCGTGCTGAAAAATTGCAAGAAGATGGATAAAATCGAAGCCGCCCCCTCCACTATGCTCTTATCATTCAGTCATTATCTCCTCTCATATCAAAAAGCTGAGGAGGGAGGGGGCAGCCAGGTAGGAGCTTGTACAGGTGAGGAATTCCAGGCAACTCCAGGCCGCCTCCTTGCACAAACAGTGGGGAAAAAAAGCTCAACGTTTTCCGTGAGGCCTCTGCTTATTCTCTGAAGGAGCACTGAAGGAGCACTGAAGGAGGAGGAGGGGGGGGGGCTGAAACAGTCAACCCACATCCCACCCACCCCGAGAAGCATTCCACAGGACTGTCTGCTCTCCCATCATTAAGCAAGACCACCTGCTGGCAAATCAGGACCCCCATCATGTTCTCAGCAAGCCTGGCTAACCCCATTACCAGTGAGCCTCTGGACTGCTGTACACATATCATAAAGGGCCTGAGCCAGTGGTATGTTGAGCAGTAAAACGCTGCTCATTAACATCCCACAAGGACTTTTGATTGTCCGGCCAGTGAAGCACAACACTAGCTATACTCAGTATTAAACAGATGCAGCACAAAGGCACAAAGAAATGATCTCTGATGCAGCTGTTGCATGACTGTGCACCGACTTCTGACTGGCTCATCTCTCCTCTTCTATAGAAGAGACAGTTTAAAAAAAAAAAGAGAGAGAGAGAGAGAGAGAGAGAGGAAGAGATCAAGACAGAAGGGAATAAACAGCCCTTTGTTGCTGTGCTTCATCAGGGCCTTGAGGGAAAGACTCTGGCATCGAGTCATCAAGAGCTGAAACAAAAGCAGCTGATAAACACAGCAGACAGATATGATCTCCCTGTACTCTCAACACTTCTCAATCAAGAGGGCTTCCTCTCTTCCAAAACCCCCAAACACCTCCGCCTTCTCTCCCGTGTTGTCATTAAAGCAGCAATGGAAAAAAATGGGAAAGATAAGATACACAACACATACTTTCAGTCTTCTTACCTAAAATCTGGAGAACAAGGAATCCTTTTGTGTCAATTACGGTAGTTCACTTGTCTCTAAATGTCTCTGTTTCTAACTTATTATCTGACAGCTCTGCACAGCACATGGCTACAGTGACATTTTAGTGCATGGTAGCTGAAGGACCAAACAAAGAAACAGATTCTGTAACAAGGGCCCTGTCATGGTGCAAATTCAACAAAGCATGTCAGTGGATTAAAAAAATCGTAATATCGGATCATGATGAAATTAAAATTAATCATAAAAAACGTTCAGTTGATAGGGATAGATCGAAGAGCTGACACATAGTGAATTTAACACAAGGGCTTCAGTTTTTTGCTTGCATGCCCAACATTGAAGCCACTACAGGCGACAACTGTTTAAGGTAGGTAAACACCGAGCCAAACATCGGGGTCGGGGCTCGTCAGGGCTTTCAGAAAGACTCTGTGGTTATGGTCACTGTGGTGTGAACAGCAGCGGTGGAAATGCTCAGGGCTTGTCGGAGGCTTTTCGCCTGATTCAACCAGAAGAATCGGCGGCAATGAGTCAGGGAGAGAAATCACTCTGACTGGTTCTCAGTCAGCGACTCAGGGCACAAGAAGAGACATGAACGTGATGAAGGAAAACAAACAAGTCAAGAGGAAGTCTCTTCTCATGTAACGCCAGTACAGTCTCCTTATCTTCAGACACTGTTTGAAGTCAAAGCAATTACGAACGCCTTCATCAGAAAAATGATCAACGAGTTTACAAACCCTGCTATTTGTATACATATGCTAGCTTGTTCTTTGTTGTCAGTTTGCTGTGTGCCAGCCTTTACTGTACAATTCATGTCAATGTCACTTGTGAGATCATCAGCGTTTACTTTTTTACACAGCCACAGGAGCTATTTAAGTCAGTGCAGGTCTCAAAGAAACACAAGAAACTAGCTGAGCTCTATTCTGCTGCAGCTCAGCTCAGGGGCCCTGAAGCCGTCGAAAAGGAAACAAGCCCCTTCACTCCTGTCGTAGAAACACAGAGTTTATCACTGGAAAGCTGCCGTTCTCACAAAAAGAATGAGCTTTAGTAGAAAGCTCATGAAGATAAAATGTACTCTTCAGTTTAACTCTGGCAGTATCTTGTGATTATACAACTTTGCCATCTCGCCTTGTTGTAGATGTGCAGCACTTTAAGATGAGGAGTACCACTAAGCGTTCTTATTTCCATCCTCACACACATACATGCCTGTAAGGTGTTATTAGGTTAAGATAAGGGATCAAGTGGGCATCCTTTATAAATATTGCTTAGAGCATTTTAAGAGCACAGCAAGTGTTTACTGAGGTCTTGTAAACACTCCTCCGGGGAGGGCAGCTCTGTGGCAGATGAAAGCTTGCAGCTAAGTGATTGCACACATGGACCGAGTGGCCCTGAAGTGCCACTGACCTGTGGGGAGAGCATGGAGTAAAAAAATAGTGTGAAACACAAAGTCTGGAGGGATCTATCTTCACATGGCATGATGGCACTGATCCAAAGTTACAAATATGCAGCAAACACAACATCCCTCATGTCACGAGTCAAGACAAAGACAAGACAAAATTCCTCAGTTTTACCTCTTCATTCTTCATCACTCATCGGATTTTTCCTTCATGCCTGTCTCCCTCTCTAAACTCTAGTGGCAAGGAGCTCGCACAAAGCCTTTTTTCTTCCACCTCAGACAATATGCCTCCCCACCTCGCTCACTGCCAGGCATTCCTGAGTCTATCCTAGCTATCGAAAATGTCAAGAATGAGGAGAGAGCAGGGGAGGGTACAGAGTACTGCAGCAGGTAGAGTCTTGTCCCGCTGCACTCACATCCCACAGTCTTGGGGGGGGGGGGTGTTAGTGGTTGCACAGAGCGGACGGGATCGGACTTGACTCTCTTAATTAAAACTCTGCACTTGAACAAGCCTCAAAGCTCGCTCTCTTTACTGGATGGAGGTATGCCAGCTAATTATCAGGGCCAATTTCACTCCCCGAAAAAACAAACGGATTATACGGTGGAGCCGAACATGACAATAGTCCCAGGATATTATTTGGTATATATAACCATCAGTTCAAAAGCCTTCCTCGGAAAATTCTTTCAGATGTCTTATATGTTATGTGTTGCAACAAAAGGAATGTTATGATTAAGCTATTAATTATGAAGTTTTAAAATGTCAGAAAGTTGTGATAAAAGCTCATCTCCGAGAACCCAAAGTGACATCTTCCAGTAGCTTCTTTTTCAAATCCACAGTTAAAATATGAGACAAAAATAAGATCCTTACGTTTAAAACAGCTGAAAACAGAAAACGTTTGACACCAAAAAGAATCCTTGATTATCAAAACTGATTCTTTTCTGGATAAACCGTTCCAGCTCTCGTCTTATGTCAGACTTTTTCTGTGTTTTTCCTCACGACTCCTTGCTGCATTTTCTAACTGTACTCCTTCAAACTGTAAGGTGGGATGAGAAAAATCAGGTTGTGTGAAGTAAACCCCTCTTCAAACACAAAGCCCGGCAAACAAAAAGGGCACATTCTAGACAGTTTGTCAGAGCCAAAAAACTCCCCTCTCCACAAGAGGAGTCCTGGAGGAAGAAAAGGCAGCTGAATAAAAAGGTTAGCAGTGCAGTGTTTCGTGCCTGGACAGACAAACAGAAGAAAGTTTTATGTGTGTGCCAAATGCAACTTAACACTGCAAACAAGCTCCATCCAATGGAACATCCTGCCACCCAGAACTGTTCAGGGGAAAGTACCCAGAACACAGACTCTGCGACTCCGCAACAGCAAGGTGATTCGTGCTCTGATTCATTTCCCCCCGGTGCTCCCGCTCGCTCTGAGTGTGTTAGATTGAAACTTTGAACAGCTGCCAACAACATAGTCAAGCACCAGTTCAAAGTTAAACAGCAGCAAGCTCACTGTTCACTGGCATGGGGGCACAGGCTGCTACACTCTCACAGTCACGGTGGATTCTGAGATTTATTAGTCATGGCTGTATGGTTCGTCTCATAAGAGCCTGACAAATGACTTCTCAGCCAAAAAAGGACTCTGGAAATAATAGCGTTTCATAAACCCTTTAAATGCTCAAGTCCTTGAACAAAAAACGTGAAGAATAAAAAACAATGATCACATTTTCCCTCCATAAATTCACTTGAAAGCATTTTAAAAGTGAGTGAGAAAGTTTGACTCATCCATTAATTGCCTGTTTCTACTCTTGCAAGTCTTGCCCAGGTTTATTTGTGATACTCTAACGATGACGTTAACAGAATCTGAGTGAGTGAGTTGTAAAAAAAAAAAAACGTGTGGGAACCTGTGTTGCCCTGTAAACTCCCAGGTTGTGTTATGAGCGTGTAAGGGTTGAACTGTTTGACCTCTGACTTAATAAAAAGGCCCGGCTACAAGGTGCAAAGGTCGGGAATCATCCCTTAACTACTCAATCTGAGTCCTTACAGTGTTATTGGGCACGCCCACCTCCACCTTCAGGCTATGTATACCTGGAAAAGCTAGAGAGTCACCATGGCAACAAAGCTCTTAAAATGACTCAGGTGTCCCTGTCAAAGGAAACTTTGACGCTGTGAGCCCGAGGCTGTGTAATTTCAGCTGCCAGCGGTGAATGAAATCCTCCCTGCTTTAAGTGATTCACAAACACGATAAGCGTTCATACCACAGCGTGGATCCTACACCGATTTCTCACAGGTAAGACAGAATATTGACAGAAGACACAGCACATTAGCTTCTTCAATAGCATTTCTCAGGTCTGATAATTCACAAATTGTCTCCTACTGACATCAACATTTGCCGGTTGTTCCATCTTAAAACCTCGCTGCTTACCTTCCACGCAGTGCTCCACGTCCTCCAGGTTGCGCAGAGTAATCCTCATCAGACTGGAGTTGAGCATAAGTTCGTTCTTGTGTTCAGGGCCCATGGATTTCGACGCAGGGTTGAGAAAGAAAATGCGGGTGTCCCCCGTGGACACGTGGTTGTCACAGATCCGGGGTTGCCGAAGCCGCCGATCATCAACTTGTTTCCGCCGGCCAGGAGGATTTCTCTGTTGACGTTGGACTTTCCTTTTAGGTAGCGCCACACTCTGACCTTTTGCCAACGAAGAGACAGAAAGAGAGCACATGTTTCAGCACTTTGTGGAAGTGAAAAGAATGCATCCTCATGCATACAGTAAGGATGAACCGGACTAGAGATTTGGGGACTGTGTCTTCCTCAGATCTGTCTTCAGGTCTCCTCTTCCCAGAATACCATTTAGTTTTTAACAACTACAACAAAATGTCCTGTCGTCAGGTACAATTGCAAAATATAGTCACTTGTCAGAGCCACAGTACTGGCATTAATGTCTGGGAGAACAGTCCAAGAATGTGGGCATCTTCATCGTGACATGAGTCCACATACACAGAAAACACATTAATCCACATTATATTTATTAAAATTAGAAGAAAAGCGACGATTATTGTAGCCTCACAGGTGTTTTTTTTTTAATCTCTTTCTACCCATCCTTAACGCTCTCCCTCCATGTTTTACCGTGGCTCATTCTGGTTTTGAGACAATGACAATGTTGTCAAATTCCTAGCACGTCTGAACATATTTCACCAATGAACCTGATTCTGATGACAGGTTTGTGATTCTCTAACTTTACTGTTTTATGTTTTTACTTTTGCAACCAATCATTCCTCACAAGTATAGGTATTTTTAGTAGAATATATCTTTCAGAGAAGAAACAAATAGATCCAATAACGAGTCATTTGTATGTACTTCAAACCTGCATGAACCCACAGAAAGTGCATCCCAGGAAGTGTCGTAAAAAAGCAGCTTTATGCCCAGTAAGTCATGCTGAAGCTCTTCTCTTCCGTTTCATGGCTGTGCTTCTGTTTCATTTCAACACTCGGTGATGGTTTCTTTTCTTTTTTTTTTCCCCAGAGTGAGAGCTCATGTGCCTCTAATCTACTCCACTCATTCACCCTGGGGAGACGGGAAGCAAGTGGGCGCTGACGAAACGAGCAGTGAAGAGAGCTGACCAAACACAACTTGTTTATTTTGACAGATTATAGAGCGGTGCACCACAAGTCCAGGATGGTGCAAAATGTTTGTCTCACGATGAATGGCCCTGGGTTGAGGATGGAGGAAGGGCACTTCCTGACTGAAAATGTGCTCGTTTGTGGAACTTATTGGTTTTTACAAAGTGGTGCAGAAGTCAGTGATATAAATATAAATGGGACATTTGACAAAAAAGGGTGAAATTTAGACTTTCAGGTCTATGGCAGCCGGATTCACATGCTACTAAAGCAAGAATACACAACTTGATTGCAGCACTTTTTAAGAAAATAGATATCCATACTGCCTCTTACACTCTAAACAATTGCCAACAAATCACAGTACTGTTGTGCTCTAAGTCAGTGGTTAGTCTAATTGATCTTATTACATGTTATGCACTTTTTTTTTTTATCCAAAGGGACATTAAAGTCATAGCCACAAGCCACACTTCTCTAGTTTAAGATATATGTGGTGGCAAATGTCAGCAACACCACAGAATAAATCATGACTCAAGAGATCGTCTTTATAGCCACAGGCAAATTAGGCTTCATGTCTGCAACATTTCTGATTGGAAATGAGTGAGAGCTGCAGCCAGGGGCCGGTGAGGGGCCAGGCTCCTGGTTGCAGCATGTTTGGGATGATTACATGGTCGGTGAAAGGCCTCCCTAGTAGCTATGTAATTGGTAAGTGGAAATAAAAAAACACCATCTATCTATTCCTGAAGGGAAAGTGGATCTTCTGTCAGTGTCCGTGTAAACGCTGCCAAATGCTTCTGGATGAATGAGTTTGTAAAATGTTTTGCAGGCAAGCTGTTGGAAAACAAACTCGGTGGTAATGGCCTCCATCTGCTGCACGAGGGTAGAGGTTTAAAAATGATGAGACTTCTTATAGTCTGGGGTCTGGTTGTTTCCGTGCAAGAAGCAGGTGCTTCCCCCCCCCCCCCCCCTAATGCATTATCGTTTCAAACCCCACATGAGAACACTTACCTTGCACGAGTAGGTATTGTGCACCGGGTCCATGTTAGTGATTTCGTCCACAGTGCCGGTCAAAACTACGTTGGCCTCCTCTTCCCGGTCCTCCAAGTCTTTCTCCGGACAACTTGCTCCGCAGAGCTGCCACAGAGCTACAAGCAGCCCCGCCAGAAGAAGCGCTGACCGGCCGGCCGGGAGTGTGCGCACGGAGCCCATGTTCACCACACGGATGTAGGAACCCCCCAAAAAAGTAAACTTTCCTAAAAAAAAAAAGAAAATGTTACCGCCCGGAGAGTCCGATAAACACACTCCAAAACTATTTCGAATGCGTTTAAAATGTTGCGCCGAGCCTCCTTTCCACAACTTCCCTACGGACTACCAGTGTCTGTTTCACTCTGCAGCCCTGCTCCCTGCATCTGCAGCCCGGGTTAGAAAATCCCTCTCTGCCGCCGCCGGCTGGGAGAGCAGGTTGGAAGAGAGAGAGAGAGGGAGGAAGGAGGAGGAAGGGGCAGGGATCTCTCTCTCCAGGAATGCAACTGCACTTCTCTGTCCCCCTCTCTTTTCCTCTGTCGTGCGCACACACACACACACACACACACACACACACACACACACACACACACACACTGATTCTTTCGGATTTGCATAAGATCTGAATTGCTGATCTCACAAGTGAGGGGGGGGGGGGGGGGGTGTTTGGGGGTGAGAGGACTCTGAGCTGCGTGTTGGGATGATAGTAGAAAGTGGCTGTCCAACGCCGCCCCCAGTCGGACAGACAGTGAGTTTACCTCATCAGCAACAAACCCCACATCCTGATCCCCATTCGTCTGGATGGAGTCATTGCAGTATGGACTTTAGCTAACCACTAACGGCCCCATGTTCTCATGAAAATCTTACCTCATAATTATCTTGCAGATGTGTAATAGCACGCAAAGCATAAATCACTGGAACCAGCTTCATATTCCGGGTATACAAGAAATATGATCAATGCTGTCTCCATGCACAAACATTATGTCACACACAAGCCTACAAATATCAATATAAAAAATGAATAATAAAATAGCCTATAATAACATTTAGACAGTCGGACAAAATTACCGTGGTGAGGGGTGCAAAAGATGCTTAAATAAAAATGATAAAATAGGTTATTATGGAACTGGTAGGTAACTTTCCATGAGGTGAAACTTTTACTAGCAGTGTGCAAACATGTTAATAATAACGAGACTAGTACAGAGCATTCAGGAGCAGAACAGTTAAAGTCGTCTTTGGTGCAACGTCTCTTACAAACAGACTGACAGCAGAGGCGGTGACTGTCTAGATTGCACAAATACATTGGCAATGTTTCTGCAGCGTCATCTTGACTAAACCCTAAATCCTGTAAGCCTAACGTTATCAACGATTAGTTATCTGTCCCATGGTCAACAAAGAGAAGTATACTTTTGGTTTTTCACATATTGCTGCACTGTCCTCCATTTCCAAAGTGATTTTAGATGTTATCATATATAGACATATAAGTGAAGCACTTCAATCCCACTGCCTCCCCGCTCAAATTCAGAAGCAAGAGGAACTCAGATTTATTTTTAAAGCTTAAGAGACAAGTATACAACACGAGTTTGATTGATTGTTATATGAAGGAAGGTATGTCATCCATGTTCTTCCAAAATTTCTGGAAACTATGATATTGTCTAAACAAGATGACAGAGAAAAAAAAAGGTTATAGATTAAACTATCTTGTAAAAAATGTCAGCTCTGTGAAACATTTAGAAAATTAACATGTTTGAAACATTTTTTTAAAATGTGGATCCACTGTGATCATTCAAGTCACACCTCATTCATTACATAAAGATGCAAATCGATACGAGGCGGTGAGGTATGAGTGATGACTATTGACTGCTACAATCAATACCTGGATGGAGCTCAACGTACTGTCAACTTTAAAGGAGCTTTTTGCAACAGAATTATTGCTTAGTGTTGTTTTTCTGGACTTAACAAGACTTCCAGCTGATATTCATAACGCAAGTTACATCTTGATTCCCTAAAGTAGACAAATAAAGTAAGTGAAAGCACCATTTAGTCTGAGATTTCTCATTGTGTGCTGTGCTACTTTAAGCTTATGCTCACAAATTGAGGATAAGAAATCAATGAAATAATAAAGTTTTCTTAGCAGTTCATTAGGGTCTATATTGAATAACAATGTGATGAATCTTATAGCAACGATATAAAGCAACAAGTGCACTCCAGTTCTTGTAAACTCAGCACTCCATAGGCGGATACTTATCTCACACCATGTCATATGTCATTAAAGATTCCCCTTATATCGCAAAAGTTACCACGTCGAAGTCTATAAATGCTACCATATGGAAATTTTGTTAGATCCTATTTAGGAACAGACAGTGCGTAAATTTCCACTCGTCAAAAGCTGTAATTTTAACTAGCCTTCTATTCCTGGGAAAATAACAGGCTTGGTCAGGCACATTTGCTAGAGAGAGGATATTTGCAGAAATGTGTTCAACTAGGCTTCGGCTCCGACAGCTGAGTAAACCATAATAGACAACCCTCTGAGTGAATTATTATACAATTTGTCAGTGCTTTTACATAAATAAATATATATATTTATATTAAATGTATGAAAACGTCCACATGCGTTCAGTTCATTATAAGAGAGAAAACACTATTTCTCTGCATGTATATTATTAAGCTGCGACGCTAACAGCACACTGTCAAATAACTACTTTTATTAGCTTTTTCCATTCAAATCATTTAAATTTATGGCAGTAATGACTAGTTTAAACAAGAGCATAAACTGAATGACATTTCCATGACCAGTTTATTCTATTATAAGACTTAATGTTTCTGCATGTGGCTGTCAGTGTTGTAGAAAACCCTCCATTAAATCCCATTTCAGTTAACAGTAAAGGCTCACCTATAAGTAAACAGAGATGAAATGGAGGGTCTCTTTTAGTAAATGTCTGGGGCGGAAGACCCTAAAATTCATATTCCTAATGCAAAATAATTAATATTTCTTATTTCACAAAGTGAACAATTGATCAAAGTACTGTTTACTGAGAGTTGCATGTAGTGACACACCCACAGGCCCTTTCAGCTCAAGCTTTATCAACCTGTTGTTTATTTTTAAGAGCTAGCTATTAGCAACATCTTTTCATTCTCTTCATCCATTGTTTCCCTCTTCTTCTTAAGGTTGCTAATGTTAGCTAAAATACTCTCATAAGTACTGTACACTACCAGCACCAAGCAGAAGGCAGACAATGGGACTAGCTTGTTAGCTTGTTAGCTGTTAGCTAAAGAAACAGATATTTCTCTCAGGAGAGGTGAAGACTTTAACAGACATTTAAGCTGATGTGAATATTGGACTTACACTTTGTATGAAACCTTAGAGGGATTCTCATCCCTGTTTGCTTACACATTCACCAAACAACTTTCTAAGACTTTATGTTAGTGCTTGGTTCACCTGAGACCATCGCCCCCTAGTGGACAAAGTACGATCTACTCGTTCTTTATTCGGTTTTATGGCAGGTGACACTCAGCTTTCAGGTGACTTACCACCACCTACTGGTGTTGGAGTGTGGACCAGAATTAATATTTTAACCCACCAATATTCAAAATACACAAAAGAAGGACTAAATTATGTTTATTAACACAGTGTTTCCCAAGTAGCACATTAAGCTCTCTATGCTAATAAATGCTAAAAAAAAAAAAAAAAAAGAAGAAGAAAAGGTTAGCTCCTCCTCTCCAATCTTCCTGATGTCCCTTTTTTTATTCCTCTCTCTCTCTCTGAAGTATTGTATAAGAACATGGTCTACTGATTCCTCTACCTGGCCGTGTCCACATAAACATGAGGGGGCTTCTTTAATCTATAAAGTATTTTATTTAGTGCTGTATGACCAACCCTAAGCCTTGTTATGATGTTCTCTTCCTTTGTGCTCGTTTAAGTTTTCCTCACTGTTCCCACTTCTGACTGAAAATTGTAGCGGTGTCCTCCTGTGGTGCACGTGTCCCAAATGTTCTGTCAGTGCTTGCATGGAGATGTGGCAGAGCAATTCTCAGGTTGTTGCACTCTGCAGCCTCACATCCAGATATCACTTTATCTTGCACATTAGTTTTATATGAAGAGTTTCATAACTATGCTTTCCAAACACTTCAGACCCATCTCTCTGCTCCATGTCTACCCCCATTCCCTCCTTCTAATATGTCTGTGTAGGATCATCCAGGGTCATGGTAAATAGGAATCTTGATCCAAAGGCAACTGGACTTGGTTGGCCTTCAAGATCTGCAAACAAGTCCTGTTGCCTTTGGATCAAGCTTCCAATTCTCCTCCCAATATATCCTGCTTCTCTTCAGCTGTCCTATCAATGAAGGTGTAAATGAATGGCCAAAATAAAAGTCAATCCCATCCCAAATGTATCAGTATTGTTTATATATCATTATTATTTAGCATCCCCATTCAGTCCCAAATCTAAGATACATTCAGTGTCATAGTTTAAATCTTAGGCCACAGATCAAGGGGCCTTTTCAGACAAGTTGAATTGAGAACATGTTGGATTTAAAAGATAAAAAATGAGTCTTAAGTACCAAAAATGATGTAAAAGTTATTTATTATGCATAAGTAAAAGCTTGTTTTCTTTGTGTGGTAAATCTCTGTCCAACATTTAAAGAATAGAATCGATCCTTTATGTCATTTACAAATACTTTTCAGGAGACAGGTGGCCTTCAATCATTTTCTATATCAGAAAAAAAAGATTCAACAACCATAAAGCATTGCATTACGCTACCAGTTGTGTTTCTCAGTGGACCCAGAACATGAAAAATGAAGCCTTCATCATAATGTGAAACTTACCAGAGCACATGAACCATCACGTCCTCCCCACTTCCAGTTATCTCCTGACAGCACCACCACCTCCCACAAATATTTTAACACAAAAGCCCCAGAAAGTAAACAAGCTTTGACATGTAATGACTGAAAGAAGACATCTCACTGGCCTTTTTTTTGGTGCATCAAAGTAAAGCAGATGCAATTACAGCAGAAGACGAGAGCAAAGACATCAACCAACACCCCCTTTAGAGGGGATTTACCAGCTCACATGGAGAAGGTGTACTGAATGCATTGGTATTGTTATTTGTTGCACAGGCTTGCCTGGGAGAAAAACTCTGTAAGTTGCTTCAGATGCTTGATAACTCTGCTATCTCAAAGTCAGTCCGTCTATTTGAAATATTTGGCAGGAGAATGGTTTCAAGTTTGATGATATCAAATATCAGCAGTGAATCCTCCGAGCGGTGCCGTATTGTTTTTGGCCTAAGAAACCCCTACAGTGGTCAATCTGTGCTTTTCACAGTTATGACAGTGATGGATCCAGATGGAGTCTTTTATTATAATCTATTTTGATAAGTTATACTTACGTTGATGGCTTGTACAGAGGGCTCCATGACAGCTGGGAAAAGCTGACTCTGTTTCCAGACGTGTGTCACTGGAAAGAAAGAGGAGTAACCTGAGATACTACATTAGCAG